CAGAAATCTCAAGAGATAATTTGTAATTTAAGTTGATACGTTGAGTAAATATTCTTCTTCTTATATCACCGCTAACGCGTTAATAGCGCAAAATTTATTGCGTGTTAATTGTCCCAAAGTGGCTAAATTGTCGATCTTTAAACCTCCGTACTTAAGCGAAAAATGATCACAGGTGACATATCTTTTTAGTTTCGAGCTCAGGACAACAATATTTTTCGACTGATTCCGTCAAAAGATAAAAACTTTGAGGAAAAAAATTCGTCAAAAGTTGATAGTTGAAAAGTTCGCCTTTTGTTTATTTCGTTGGGGATATAGGAAAATTCACTTGGTCATTGTGGGGGACGTAAAAATTATGAATTTTTGGCTTGAAAAAAAAATGAGATTATAATCCAATTATCATCAAATAATTACTTGGTTTTGATATTTTTAGAAACTGACAGTGCGGGTTGAGCTCACATCGAAAATAGCGATAAAAACGGGAAAAACACAGCGATTGCCATCGATGAACTATCGATGTTCATTGCCACAAAAACAAAATTTATCGATAGATTATCGCTAATTTGGCTAAAGTTCAGCGAAGAAACTGTGATAAAAAACCTATCAAAATGAGCAAAAATAGTGAAATACCGGGGTTCGATCCCTCAACCATGCTCTTTGTAGAAGTTTTCTTAAGTTTTTTTAAGTGTTAGCACTGTTTTTCTTCGGAACCATTACTGAAATAGCTCTGAAATATCGCAGGCTTAGCTATGCAAAAAATTCTGGATTATGCATAGCAATCTTTGAAAATAGCAATCACTGGGATGCTACATAAAAACCGATAATTAACGGTGGGACTTTAACCCGGGAGTGACAAGGGCAAGTCAATTTAATTTATTATGCTCCATCCAACTCTAGTGCGGCTACACATAGGTCAATTCAATATCTACTCAGAAATTAAATTGCGCTTATGAACTAAATGTTCGGTTTTAACCAAACGTTATCCTTCATTATATTGCTTTTTTCAAATCAGATACCTCTGGTGCGAAGGCGATTCTGTTTGACAACTAATGTCTTTTCTAAATAGAAAAAAAAAACGAGAATAAACCAATGTTGAGTAGAGCGATACTTCGTTGACAATTAAACAGGCTTACAACCCAGAAATTGACCATTATTGCTTTTAACCTAAAATTGGTTAGTTTCGAGTTTCCGCGACGCGAGAACTCGTCGCAAGCAACTTTTGGTCGCAGGCGGCAATTTTTAGCATTTGAAAAAGCGACATTTCGTCGCACAGAGTTCTCCATTTTAAATGTGTTACCAATTTGAAATGAATTAAATAAGTCACAGCAAATCAACGGCGATGCCTTATTGGGTGTGGGATTCGATATGGAACGTTTCGCGGAAACACTAAGCAAAGGAATCGTATAAATTACCGTGCGACCAATTGTTGCTGCTTAAAGTTGCGATGAAAAGTCGCTTGCGACCAATAATCACCTGCGACGAGTTGTTGCCGTACCCGAGTGAGACCTTGAGTTTCAAAAAAACATCAAAAACACAAACAAAAAACTTTGCAAATTTTTGCGAAAAATTGTGATTTTGCTAGATTAGGACTACTATTTACTTATTCCAACAACAGAACCGACAAAAAGAACTTTACTTCCGTTTTAATGGCTTAGAATTATTACTTTTTGCTTAGTTTAGCCAAGTTACCTCAAGTTAGCATAACCTCAAGTTACCTCAATTTAACAAAGATTGCTCGTAGAGCTTCCGGGATATGCCCATTCGCTTCCTCGTGAAATATACGTCTAAGAACCACGGTTTGAGTCAAAAGTTATGACTCGAACCGTGAACAAGCTCAAAATGAGATCCATAACTGGCGAAGTTGCTTCAGTTGGCTTTTATTTTTAAAAAGCTTGCTCGTAGAGCTTCCAGGATAAGCACATTCGCTTTTTCGTAAAAAACAGGTCGAAGAACCACCTTATTTGAGCTTGTTTGACCGTAGTGTGAGCTGCACGAGCTTGTGAGCAACCCTGAAGACCTTTATTTTGAGGTAAAAAATCAAGATCTCAGGGGTGTAGAACGCTTTTTTGGGCATGAAGGAGTGATCCCACAGCTTCGACCCAATTTTAGCGAAGTTAGATATGGATGATGGTTAGCTGCTTGCAAAAGATCGCAACCCTTAAAACCCCATAATTTTACGAAAAATGATCACAGGTGAAATATCTTTCCAAATTTAAGCTCAGGACAACAATACCTTATAAATGATATGAAAAAAATTCCGTCAAATTTGGCTACTTAAAAAACCAAAATTTGTCTGAAGAAAAAGAAACCTCATCCCGAGTACAGTTTTTCCGTTACTTTCGTAACAAAAGTCAGAACAAAATCAAAGTATAAAAGACGCGCGTATGTGACAAAAAAATAAAACACTTTTATACGTGATGTGCGAAGCATCAAATCGTTATCAGTTGTTCATTACATTTAAGATCTACCAAAAGGAACGCATTAAAATATCAAATGATACTTATAATTCTCAAACGATCTCTTGCTTTGCCACTTCAGCAAACAGAGGAAAAACTACATCCTTTTATTATCAGCTAAAAAAAAATTGGTTACAACAAGCTGAAAAATTGATTCAATTAGCAGCATCCCTTAATTAGTTTTTAAAATGCTTTTTCAAGTGTTATTAGAAAAGTCAAATACGAAGCCTGGTCTTCATTAAAGCGTTTTGCTATGCCACAGCTTGTGAAATGTTGTTGCCAAAAACGAATGGATGCTTATGTTTATCTATGGAAAAAGAATGAAATTAGATATTTTCAGATTTTACCATATCAAAGCAACTTTATTTGTTTCGCAAAAATAGGATCGAATTTTTTAAAAATAAAAACGAAACTTCGTTTTGATTTCTTGATATAATGTTACGCGTAGAAGACTTCGAGCTGAAAATTTTGATTCAATTAGCAGCATCTCTTAGTCAATTTTCAAAAAGCTTTTTCAAGTGTAATTATGAAAATCAAATACAAAGTCTGGAGATCCTTAAAGCGTTTTGCTCTATGCCGGAGCTTGTAAAATGTTATTGCCATAAATGAATAGGTGCGAACTGGTGTCACTAAATTTTTTCATGTGACAAAAAAGAAAATATTAAAGGATTGAAAAATAATCGTTTGCTGTACAGCGTAAATAAGGTCCTAGTCTATATTCTGAATAAAGTTTTTAAAAGAATCCAATACCTGTTATGAAAAAAGCACCGACTTCTCTGCCTAAAAATTTTAGAACAACAAAAAATTTGATAAATTTCTTTTGTTATTTGCTGAACATTAACCAAATAAGGAATTTTTTAAAATTAATGATTTGACTTGGAGAAAAAAAATTGACATACTCAATGTTACTTTCGATCTGATTTTTAATTAATTGAGTGGGTAATTTTTTTCACATCTGAATATCTTAGCCCAGATAGAAAATAAAGTTTTCAAAAGAATCCAATACTTTTTACGAAAAAAAAAGAAAAAAGCACCGACTTCTGTACCTAAAAACCATAGAACAAAAATTTTTTAAAAATTTATTGTTAATTGCATGAACATTAACCATATAGGTAAATTTTTTTGCTAGAAATTAAGGAAATATTTGAAATTAATGATTTGACTTTGAGAAAAAAAAATTGAACTACTCAATGTTATTTTCAATCAGTTTTTTAATTAAATGAATGGTTATTTTTTTCACATCTGAATATTTTGGCCCAAATAGAAAAAAGTCGATGTGTCATTTATTATCAGATCATATATATTCAGCTCAATATAAAAAAACTTTGCTGTCGTTTTTATAAGAGTAGCTTCGCAGTCCAGAGACGCTAAATGATTGTAAGAGTGCTTTGCAGTTATCATGTGCTCGACACACATAATAAACTTAAACTGTTGAGCCAAAACAAGAGTCGATTTAAAAAACAGCAGTATTGGTTCAAATTATTCTGACAAAACAAAAAAACTCTGAAACCTAAAAACGCTTTTCTCAAAATGATTACCTGTAGAAAAAGATTGAAAACTAATTTTTTTCCAGATTTTACTAGCATCAAAAGGGTTCCTTTTGTTTTGCAAAAATAGGACAAACTTTTCCTATCCAAAAACGTAATTTCGGTTCAATTTCTTGATATAATTTTTGCGTAGAATGATGAACTATTCGTTTTAAGCCAGGTCCATCAAAATCTGCTTCTTTTTACATCAATAAAACTTACAAAAAAATTAACTGTTTGAATGTGGAATGTTTTCAAGTTTATTTTTCTGAAAAAAAATTGCCTTAAATTACAGTAAGACAGGATTATATAGGCTGCCATGGAAATATATTTTTTTGGATTATACAAGTATTCAGTTATTTTACTCTGTCCGAATGTTTTATGTTAAGTAAAACGCAATTTTAATTTTCTTATTTTTATGGTGAAATTTGATTCTGAAAATGTTTGAAACTAAAGTGAATTAGAAATTAATTACATAACTTGATTTTTTTTAGAAGGGCCCTTTTTTTCATAGTTAAAACACATTCTGATTCGTTTATCGGGTAACGACCAGTAACAATTGAACTCAAATGAAATTTTATGCAAAATTCCATGCTTGTAAGCACAAGTCAGCACTGTTCAACCACAATTTTTGAATTTTTTTTTCTAAAAATAAAATTCTCGGAAATAAGTTATTTCATTACTGCTTTTTAGAAAAACGCTTGTCACACAACTTCCATTTATGGAAAAAACGTATCATAGAGATTTCATTTAAAGTTTTGTACGTTTAGAATTGTGTGAAAACGGTATGACTAGATGTTTTCAAGGTGAAAATTTGATAGAGGTGTCCCTCTAAAAAATATAAGGGTGACAGAGGGGTCTCATATTACAATACTTTTTAAGCAAATACAACATGTAAGTAACTCAAAAAACAAATCTCGGTCGTTTTGAAAACTTTTCTCAAACGCAATTCACCTGCCTCAATTGCGCTATTATATTCGATGCTTTACTTGGCATCACCGAGGCAATAAATTAAAAAGTGTTGAGGCACTGTATTTAATTTATTGTCCTGTTACGTTCTAGGAACTCTCAGTCACATTTGTTACGCTTTCCACATACGAAAATGGAAAATTGTTTCATATCGCAGACGCGTACAAAAATTTTCCAACTGAGTATTCGATTTATCATTAGGCACATGAACATGTACATCCAATTTTGTGACATTTGACTTCTAACTGACAGAGTTTACTCAGTGGAGCTACGTAGCTGTCCCCGAAGAAGTTACTGCATTGTTTGCGGCAGACGTACTTGACCTCACAACCGCCCCACGTCCAAACCCACCAACTGTTCATTTTCTTCATGTATTCAGCCCACCCTTTTTCGAGTTCGTCATTTTGCAAAAGCACCCTACGAATCAAAATTTTGGTTGTTAACCCACCTAAAATTTGAATTATATCTGTTGAAACCAGGTGTAGTTTTTTCGCTTTCCAGCAACTTAGTCAGAAAAAAATGAAAGAATCACATAATTTTTCGACACGATGAGAGAGACAGGCTTCTGAAACCGCGTGACACTTAAGCCATAGTGCCTTGCAAATATTAGCCGGAACAATAAATTGATACTAACCGCAATGGTTTGTCTGGCTTCTTGTGAAGTTGCCACGGACTTAGCTGGCTGGTAAAAACAGCCCCATCTTCCAGCTTAAAATTTATTTGTTCGCATCTTACGGGTTCTCTTAGTCGAACAAAAAAAGAAACTAGCAAAAATGCCGAAAATAACTTCAGAATCATTTCTTTTGAAGCGCTACAAATGTTATGCGAATGAGAATTCAGTCTTATTTGCAGTAATTGCTTCTGCAAATGCCAATCAAAATTTCAAATGGCAGGACATTCAAATGGCATATTGAACTGATCTTTGTGGGCTTACATATAAAGTTTTTTCATTGAACTTTCATCGGAGGTGTTAAGAGAAAAAGTTCCTCCAAAAGGTCTACGTTTTTTAAAGAAAACTTTAAAAAGTGATCCTGTTATTGTAGTGGTATACCTCGGAAATTTGTATCCCCTTTTTTATCCTCTCTTTTAATTCTAATTGGCAATTAAGGAAAACTCACCAAGCCAATGGAGGAAATCCAATATCCGGAAATCAGACTCAAACTGACACAAATTCAATAAAATTTGAGAACAGTTTTCAAAATTTGACTTTTAAATGTGGGGTGGGGGGTGTGAGGTAAAAAGCCCGAAATTTGAAATGATTGAAAAAAGTTTACGTGCAACTAAATTAGTCAAATTATATTTAGTCACAAAAGGAAAACTAACACTCCATTTTCCCTACTGAGTTTAAGTTCGGGTGGCTTTCTCATAGAGTAAAATCCTTTTGTGAAGGAGGATTAGGATTGGTATTAAACTGCCCCACACTAAAATCCCAACTAACAGAAAAATTCTTCGTCAAAACTGACTACATCTTCGACTAAGCAATTGAACGATCCTTTCGGCCGGATAGGTTCGTTCAACTTCTTAGTCTAATACCAATCCTAATCTTACTCTTATATTTCCTAGTCTCAATAGATCTACTATATACTGGTATTGTTGCGAGGTTTAAAATCAAGAAGGAGCAACTGTTTGGTAAGTTAAATTTCTTCTTCTCTGGCTGAAACTATTAATAGTTTCAGCCTTAGAAATTATTGTAAGTTTTAGTGATTGATCATGATTGGTTAGTTCTAACTATTTTACAGAGTTTATTATCAAGAATATAATTGGAAACAATAAATACTTGTATTGAACTGGTTCCTCTATCCTTTGGATCCGTTTTCAGTTTGATCGAAGTGAAACTCATTTTACAGTTGCTTATGACTTATAAAATTCTACTATGAACTTGGGTTACATTGTGACCCTCTTATAAATCAGGTTTGATAACTTTTTTTCAAGATTCTTCTTTGTAACCCATTTCGAAAACAATTTTTTAATGTGCTCTCCAAAGGAGCACATGATACTTTTGCCATTATAAACTTGCCAACATACGTTATAAATTATTTTTTAGCGTGAAGGGGACTTTCTTAGTTACCAAGACGATGGCTTAAATCTCGATATGTACTAACTATTTTTGACTTTGAAAACGATTTCAAACATTTTTGAAGTTGAAAAATAAGCTCAAGATATGATAAGAAAAGAGCAAAAAACTTCAGAAAAGAGATCAGAGTAGAAACGTCAGAGCAATAGTCAGTAAATTTTCAAATCGCCAACACGGAGAATATTTGATTTACATTCACTATTCTGGAACAAGAACCAGCCATAGATGGAGATATGCTGAAACTGGAATTAAGGTAAAACCAAGCAAATAAAAAAATATCTGCAGAAAAATCGAAGTAAAAGAAAGGATAGCCAGTTACTGTGCAAGTATCACAGAATGTAATGACTATAATCTTAAAAAGTCTACAAAATAGTTTTTCTCCAAATTTGGGTAGTTTTTTCTACGTGGTGTGATAAAAAGAAATGACGTATAACTATAATTTAGGCATACTTTACATTCATAGTAATATAGGCAAACAGTTTTTGAAGAAAAATGGAATAACGAAAGAAATAGCAAAATAAAATACAATGAAAAAAGTCAATATTTTTTTAATTGTTATTTTTATTTTTGAAGTTTTATTCCTAAAATTGCAATAAAAACCTCCAAAAACAAGTTCTATTCAATGAAAATTAAAATTTAGCATAATTAAGCTATTTTAGACGGCCTAAATTAAGCAAAAATATTCGTGCTCTCTCGATTCACTCACTTAAACTTAGACGAAAAATCAAAAGTTTCAAATTGGTTTTTGTTGACAATGGGATTTTTTTTCAAATTGTTTTTAAATCGTTCGGACCACAACTAAGAAAAGCTTTGAAATGATATATTAATCAATTTTCTCCGATGATTATTTTTGGTTGCTGATTTTGCGTGGAG